TTAATCAGCAATACAGCCCAGCCAGTGTGGCCCAGTGGTTGAGCATCGACCCATGCACCAGGAGGCCGTTGGTTCGATTCCCGGTCAGGGCACATGTCCAGATTGCAAGCTCGATCCCAGTAGTGGACATGAAGGAGCTGATCAATGGTTCTCTCTCATCAATGTTGCTATCTGTCTCTCCCTCTCCCTTCATCTCTCTGAAATCAATAAAAACGTGTTTGTTTGTTTGTTTGTTTGTTTTGAAAAAGCTTTGTGAAAGTGCTCTCTCTCTCCCTTTCTCTCTCCCATACAGACACACAGAAATACACACACACACACACACACACACACACACACACACATTTGCTCTTGACCATTGTCTGTTATGGCTCAAGGACCAGTCTCACAAATCCTCCTCCTCTCTCCTATTCTAGCGCACACACATTTTGGCGCATGGCTTATGGCCAGTTCCTCTGCTCCTCTGCCTCTATGCAAAATATGGCTAAGAAGATAAATGTATTCAGGCCTATAATCTCTCCTTATAAATCCTCTCTTCTCTGGGTTGATTTCCTAACCTTCTCATATCCCCTGGATCCTTCGACGCCTGAAAGGTTAGGCTCACTGTAATGCTACCTGGAAGTGTGACATACGGAGTGGCTCTTGGCCCCGCTCCCGCTCATCTTATTTGGTCGCTAAGAAACTCAGTCTGAGGGCCAAGTCAAATAAACTCCACTCTGGAGGTCAGCAGAGGGGCTCCACGTGAGAAGCCAACCTCCCAGTTTAAGAAGCATTGAAACCGCTGAGAGGAAGGCTTCATTTTGACTCTAGCTCTCAGCCCCTCTTGGAGCCAGCACACAGACTGCCGTTCCTAAATGCCTTTCCCGCAGGAGGAACCAGGGTTCGTGGAGAAATGGCTGGTTCCAGACCAGAGAGAGAGGAATTGCTTACCGAACGATGCAGTAGAGCCAGCTTGCAGGGGCTTTGCTGGCCAATCCCGGGCCAATTTTAGCACGGAAAAGAAAAATGGTGATAACGTGGAACCTGGCAAATATTAAATTCATGTGTCTATAGTGCAGTAAAAGAAAGTCAGGTGTGGGGAAATGTTAATAGGTGAATTCAAGTGAAAGGTATAGGAATGTACTATTCTCTCAACTCTGCAGATTTGAAATTTTTCAAAATAAAAAGTTGGGGAAAGAAAAATAAGAACCCGCTCCCATCCCTAGCCTGGATTTTCTGAGCTCACGAAACCATTCTTTCCTAGGCAGGGAGATGTGAATAAAGTCTTCCCTTAGGCTCAGTGACTTCAGGCCATTCTCCTGTTATCTTGGTTAATACAATCTGCCAATGGTTATGAATGACTCGATCACATAACCGGTTTTAAAACTGTGGTAAGTTGGGTTAACACTAATTAACATAAACATTGTCAAGAACGTGATCAAATAAAGGTGCTGTAACATAAGCTCAATGCTCTATATGAAAGTTCTATAACTCAAATACAGAATTGTCTTTCTGGAATTTGCTGGTCACTTCTTCTTCCTTCTAAGATTCTATATGGCAAGGGGGTGGGGGAGGGGGTGGGGGGGTCGGGAATGCCTGGGCCTCCAGATGATATTCAGCAGGAAGCCCTCCTTCCTTCAGAATGAAACTGCCTGAAAGGATCACTTGGGCGCCATCTACTGGGTAAATGCTTGCACTGCCATGGGGGTCCAGCAAGGTGCCCTGGCCATAAACAGCCACTCAAGTGTGGCTTCCCCTTAACAGAGGCAGGCAGCACCCAGCGCCCGGCAAGCCATCCACAAACAGTGAAATGAGTTACTTCCCCCTTTGAATTCCCTTCACATTCATTTAATGCCAATAGGAGGCACATGTGGTAAGAATCTAATAACATCATACTATCACACGGATGTCTTCTTATGGTCAAACGCTGTTTCCATAGATGGTTTGTAAACTCACTGAGGGCTCGTTGTTTCCCCTGGTGACTTACCCAGGGCTCCACAAAACATGCTCTATGAAGGCTGAGACTGTGGCCAGATAGCACACTGTGTGGGATGAGGCTTTCAGAGCAAACATCACGGAGCTGAACAAGCACAACTGAACTAACACAGAATGAGACAGGAATCGGACCATTATTCTGTTTGTTTCATAGCACTGACGACCACACTTCAATTTTTTTTTACTTTTTGGGTGTTTGGGTGTTTTTTTAAGTCTCTTTTCTCTAAATTGCAAGTTCCAAGACCTGTCTTGCTCATCACTGTATGTCCAGCACCCCAGACCATCCACTCAAGAAATATTTTTTGAATGGCTGGGTAGACTGATGAATGAGAGCCTGACTTTGTGTTCTGCCAGTGGCAATGGCCTGTTGTAGCAATAAGCTGTCTTTGGGGAAGCCTTGATCCGACACCTGGATACCATCACTGGTCCAACCACTTGGGATGGAGAATACGTCCCTAGCTGACTGATTTGGGGCTTAGCCACGGGGCCTCTTTTGAAATGTGAGTGAATGTGATATGAGAAGAGGCCTTAATGTGTCCGTGTGTATGGCTTGGCCTCTTGTGCTTCTGCAACTCCCCCCAAGAACAGCACGTCCCTAGTAGCTGCTGCCCCTTTGCCCTGGACCCTGAGGCATGGAGTTCAACCCAGATCAGCTCAGCTGAAATCAGTTGAACCCCCGCCCACCCACAGACCCATAATTAAAAAAAAAAATTTCCTTTTTGAGATTTGTTACACAGCAAAAACTGACTATTACATAGGGACATATTATCACCACCACCCCTGAAAGCTTCAACTTAGATATTCCACTCTCTGCCTACAATACCCCTTCTATCTACATGTTCCACCGCTTTACTACCACTAAGCCTACTTTTCTACCACATTGAGACACCCATCCCTATTCTCTCTCTGCCAGGCTCTTTCTGATTTCATGTCCTACCCAACCTGGATGAATTGTCTTAGCCAATTCTCAGATCAAGCAATGCCTGTTTCAGTTCATCGCTGCTACCATGCTGCTGGCGAGCACTGCCCACTGGCCTGACTGCAGCGCCTACATAACAGTTCCAGTTTGAACTAGGCCCTCAGTGTTGCTGGGACTTGCCTTTCCTTATTCCTCGCGTGGCTGTCTCAAACCTTTGCTACTCTCAAGCCTCGGTCTCACTTCCACTCTGTCCTCAGCAGAGATTCCACTTCCCACTTTTCAGAGAAAACAGAGCTTTTGAAGTGGAGGTTGCATGATACTGTGGCTAAGAACCAGGGGTCTAGAGTTGCACCCACATAGGTATCTTTCTGGTTTGCCCACACCTGAGCAAAGGCATAGCTCAAGCATCAACTCCTACCTCACGTCTCCCCTACCCCTGACTCCCTCTTCTTTTACCTCTGTCCTGCCAATGCCTTATCCTAGTCCCCAACTTTTCCTTGGCTTCCCACTGCGCTCAGAATAACATCTAAATTCTTTACCCAGTTCACCTACCTACAAGGCCATGCACGATCTGACTCCTGCCTATGGCCCCGATCACATAACTTAGCCCTTCTCCACTCACACAGAGAAGGAGCAACCTGCCATTTCCAAAGGGAAGAAACCCTAAAGTGATCTAATAGACTGTAGGCGGTCAACGCGAAATCAAAGTTGTGCTGGACAGCTCTGATTATGTCTGTCTTAAGCAGTTTTATTTCTGGACCACTACCAGCTTGGCCTTTCAGGAGCATATAAAAGAATAAGGATACGTTTACTGTATTCATTTTCGCTATATGCCAGGTAAAGCATTAGGCATTTCACACACATATCTGCTTTAATTCTACAAACAGCCCAATAGCATTCTTCCCATTTCCAAGAAAAGGAGACTGCGATTAGCAAGGGTAGATGGCTTGGCCATGGTCACAGTACAAAACCATTAGTTAGCCCAGGCCCGTGTCATTCCAGAGCCTGTGGTCTTGATCATATCAGAAGGTCTCCAGAGAACAGCTGCCAGAGGAAGACCAGGGTGAAATCCTGCAGCGAATCTCCCTGGAAATTAACCCCCCACCCCCCAAAGTCCTAAATTCAATTTCCTGGAAACCATCTAAAATGACATCAGAGACCAGCACTTTAAAATCATCTGTATTCAGAATAATTGAGCTCACGGTGAAGCACCAACGCGTCCCTTCTCCAGGGGTAATTGCATTTTTCGGCCACAAACCACAGACCTCACCCTTTTCCCCGGACTTTTGAAATCCGTGGCATTTTGCTAAGGTTAGATCAGGCAAAGAATACCAACAGCTCTCCAGTCTCCATCTCCGCGGCCTGGGAATATCATTACAGGAGGAAAACTGCTCAGCCTGCAAGTCCACCCAGACTGCTTCTGACTCAAGGAGGGAGCATGTGGAACAGGCTTAACACAATACTAACAGTGCGAACGCTGCCCCAGGTCCCGAGTCTCAGCAGGACAGCCACCATCAGGGTCCTGCAGAGGGGAGTCTCCGCTGGGGGGAAGTTACAGTTCCACTCCATTTTCAAAGGCCTGTGGAAACCCATAGGTAACCCTCATAAAGACTAAGTAATTCCTGGAGTTCCAGTAGAACCCAGAAAAAAAATCTCTTTCCCAGGACAAGGGGCATGCTGACAATTTGACATGGGTCTCAGGATTTAAAAGCAGGATTCAAAAAATGTACCAATAGAAATTCACATTTAAAATGCATTACAGACTGAGCATTTCGATGCTGTAGTCACTGTTATCTGACAGATGCTAATGTGGAGCCGCTTCAGGAATGGCCAGGAGGCCATGCAGAGCGCCTTGGCTTTGTTCAGCAGAAAGGGGAAGATTTAAGAGCAGATAGGAACCTCCCGTGGCCAATTCCAAACAGATGTCCACAGTCCACAACCAGCAGATGGAAATGCGCGTGTTTGTTTTTTTTATAGCCTTATCTAGAAAGCTCTCTGGCCGCAAGCTTGCCAGAACTCAGATTCCAGCAAGAGAAACCATAGTCCGCGGCCAGTGGAGACATTAAATCAGTGGGCGCTAGAGACGGAGCTGCCTCAGGGGTCTACTCACGCATGCAGTCTCCTCCGTACCAGCCCGCCCGGCACTCCGCACAGTAGAAGCCTTTCACGTAGAAGTCGTCCAGTGTGCCTCCCCATGAGCCGTTTCGGCAGGTCTTGCAGTTTTCAAAGATGGTGCAACCTGAAACATTTGAACAAAGAGGGTGTTGGAGTCAGCACCTGATGCATGATCGGCTGCATGGGAGAAACCGGGCACCTTCTCAGGGCCTTGTCTCAAGGAAGGGCACCTGGACCGAGACAGGCGCCGAAGCCTTCAGGGAAATGCTGGCTCCCAGGACATGCTAGAGTCACCGGCATTCAGACCGAGGAGGGTGCTGAAATAACATGAAATAACCTGCAGCAAAACCACCTAGAATATCATCATCCAGGGCAAACCGGTCACATTCTTTATATCCATCTATACAAACGCATTTTTGTCAATTAGGCTTACACTATATACTGTACATTCTGGTTCTGTAACTTACTGTTTCACTTAATAAAAGAAGGCATCATCCCATTTCTTTGAAGGTCCTTCTATGTCATATACTTCTATCACCCAAGCATGCCTTTGGAAACAACCTTAATGTCTAACAGTGGGCTCATCCGGGAAGGTGTCAGGCTGCCCCCCACCAGCAGGCTACACCAGAGAGGCATAAGCTGTTCCCAGGCAAGGGTCAGTGAAAAGATTTATTGATTGATTTGAGAGAGGAAGGAAGAGAATGAGAAAAACATCAATTTTTGTGGTCCCACTTATTCATGCATTCATTGGTTGATTCTCGTAAGTGTCCTAACCAGGGATCAACCCACAACCTTGGCATATTGGGATAATGCTCTATCCAACTGAGCTACCCGGCCAGGGCTCGGATCATTTTTAAAACATGGTCTCTTGAGCCGTGGAGGGTGATGAGGGAAGGTAGAGCTCGTTCAGTCTCACTCAGGGCAGACAGCTAAGTTCTAGCTCAGCCACATTTTATCCTTAGAACCTACTCCAGTATCTGCCACATAGGAAGTATTAAATAAATATTATTTGAGTGAATGGATGATGGATGGATGGATGGATGGATGGGTGAACTGCCAATACAGGCTTCTGAGCTGTTTGAGATAACCGGGGTCTCCTTGAGCTGACAGCATACTCTTTTGCTTTTGGCTGAAATTTGGCTTTGTTGGGTTACGGTGTATATATTTGCAGTGTGTATATGGTGGTTCCTGTAGGAGAGAGACTAGCAACCCTCTCTTCGCATACCAGCCTGATTCTACTTCCCTCTCCTGGTCCCTTCTCCCACCAGAGAAGAGTTGCTTCTGATGCCTCAAATTCATGTGGCCCATAACTGGGTCCTAGGGGGGTCACTGTGCCTCCTACAGGCCATCTTCACCCGTGTGCCACTTCCCATCTTTGCTTCCCTTACCCGTGTGCCACTGAGGAGGCAAATGGACTCAGAGTATAACCTCAACGATCCTGCCAACACTTTCTTGGCACAGTAACACCCAGGCCATTATGTGCAAGCCACAAAAACCAGCCTGGTGATGAAAAAGAATGAGGCGCTATTAAAAAAGACACCAAGGAACTCACAGAATTGCTAGAAGGGCCAGAGGCCTGAGTTCAGAGCTACACAGCCTAGAACCGCACACAAACACCTCGCAAACTTGGTCGGGTGAGGGTCCTGGTGCTGCTCGACATTCTGGAAGTCACAGCTCACATCCTGCCACCATGCCCCTGGACCTTGACCCTCCTGCCACCCCTGCCACCAGCACAGAGAAGATTGTTGTCATCCATGATAGAACTTTCTAAAACCACATTGAGATCTCATTTCTCATGCAGGAAACTGGCAACAATCCCAAATGACATGTTCTGTTGCAAGGCTTTGAGAAAACAGTCCCCTCATACACAGCCACTGTGAGTGCGAAAGGCACGGAGGAAAATTTAGCAAAGGCTGGCAAAATGAACAGGTGCACCTCTCTTTGACCTGCAACCCCTCTCCTAGGAATGTACCCCAAAGATACACTGCAAAAATACTAAATGATGTATGCCTTGGGCTATTCACTATAGCATTGTTTATATTAGCACAAAGCTGGAAGCAGCCCAAATACTCATAAACTATGGTAATCACACAACACAGTTATAAGTAACTGCAAAAAGAAATGAAGATGGCGGCTTCATACTGTCAGTGAGTGATCTCCAGCATGCATTGTTAAGAGCAAAAAGCAAGGATAAAGTATGGTAACTTTCGTGCAAGAAGGGAAAAGATGTATATGTGTGTATATATTTGCTTGTATTGTAAAATATGGAAAACGGATGGAAATAAAAAGCCTATCTGTATATCACACAGGTGGCATATGTTACAGAGAAAAGAAGTACAGGCACATCTCGGATATACTGCAGGTGTGATTCCAGACCACCTCCATCAAGTGAGTCGTAAGCTTTTGCTGGTGGGAAGTTTGCCTTCAATTTGTAAAAAAAAAAAAAAATGCAACATTTATGAAGCGCAATTAAGCAAAATTCAGTAAAACAAGGTATGCCTGTACATCGATTGGCTTTAAAACGCAATACTTTGACTGTATACACTTAGTGGGATATATTCTAAGGTCAATAATAACCACAAAGAAAGCGTAACTTCAATCAGTGGTCTTATTGTTAGTACTAATAGTATTGTTATTTTATACAATTCTATTATGTTCTAACAGAAGATAAAGAATATAAGTGATTAGGTTAGTATTATTAGAAAATAGGATGTTCACCATGGGACAAAAGAGATACAAATATAAAATCAAAGAAGTTAAGTGAACCTTATTTGAATATCAACATAAATTCATTTAAAAATAATACATACTCCCTAGCTCCGTTCACTAAAAAGAAGACAAAACAAAGGAACCTGGAACAATGACAGTCCAATAGGAACACCTCAGGTGCTTGTATTCTCAGACCAGTATTCCCTGAAGACACAGCCAACCAACTGCAGATCTGGGGCAGAAAATGCACAAGAAGAGCATGACACATCTTGCCATGTGAGAAGCCAAGGAAGCCTTCAAACCCTAGTGTGGCCATGTCGGAAGAACACAGGGGGACAAGAAGGGCCTCCAGGGTCCTCCAATGGGGTGATGTGTGCATAAACATGGGTAATGACTTAAACAATTAAAGCACATAAATAAATCAAAATGCCTGAGTTCATAATCTCACACACACACACACACACACACACACACACACACACACACACACTCCTCCCTCCTGCCAGACTGAGCTACTTGCAGAATCCTAAATCCTATGCTTTCTCTTGCCACAGGGCCTTAGCACATGCTGTCCCCACAGGTTGACCTCTCTATCAGAATCCCTTCACCCTTGGCAGTTGGCTGCTGCCATCTTCAGAACACACGTCACCTCCTTTAATACGTCTCCACTGACTTTCCCTCCACTGACCCCATCCCCTTCTGTGCTCCCATGGTACCTTGTGCTTCTCTGTCACAGCACTTATCATGCTTAATTATAGTTGCCTATTTCCCTCTCCATCTCTCCCACCAGGCTGCAAGCCCTGGGAATGCAGGAAATGTGACTTTAAAAAAAATCATTGTATTCCCAATGCCTGACATGATACATAGGAGCTGCTTAGTGTGTTTTGTATTTTGTTTTATTGTTATTGAATTTATTGGGGTGACATTGGTTAATAAAATAATGCAGATTTCAAGTGTACGATTCTATAATACATCATCTGTATATTGTATTGGGTGTTCACCATCCAAAGTCAAGTCTCCTTCCATCACCATTTATCCCCACTTACCTTCTTTTACCTTCTCCAACTCCCTTTTCCTCTTGTAATCACCCTTCTGTTGTCTGTGTCTATCAGTTTTTTGTGTTTGTTTGATTTTGCTAATCCCTTCATCTTTTTCACCAAGCCCCCAACCCCTCCTCCCCTCTAACAGCTGTGAGTCTGTTCCATGTATCTCTGAGTCTGTTTCTATTTCATTTGTTTATTTATTTTGTTCATTCGATTCTACATACAAGTGAAATCTTATGGTATTTGTCTTTCTCTGATTTACTTATTTCACTTAGCGTAATACTCCCCAGGTCTATCCATGCTGTTACAAAAGGTAAAATTTCCTTCTTTTTTACAGCCAAGTGGTATTCCATTGTGTAAATGTACCACAGCTTTTTTATCCACTCATCTACTGAGGAGCACTTAGGCTGCTCCCAAATCTTGGCTATTGTAAATAACGCTGCAATGAACACAGGGGTACGTATATTCTTTCGAATTAGTGTTGTGGGTTTCTTCGGATAAATTCTCAGAAGTGGAATTGCTGGGCCATAAGGGAGTTCCATTTTTAATTTTTTGAGGAAACTCCATACTGTTTTCCACAGTGGCTGCACCAAGGTGCATTCCCACCAACAGAATGAGGGCTCCCTTTTCGCCACATCCTTGCTAACATTTGTTGTTTGTTGACATATTGATGATAGCCATTCTGACATGTGTAAGGTGATAACTTATTGTGGCTTTAATTTGCATTTCTCTGATTATGAGTGACATTGAGCATCTTTTCATAAGTCTCTTGGCCTTTGCCCATTATTTTAATTGAGTTGTTTGGTTTTTTGGTATTATTTGAATTCTTTATAAATTTTGGATATTAACCCCTTATCAGCTATGTCATTGGCAAATAGGTTCTCCCATTCAGTGGGCTGTCTTTTCATTTTATTGATGGTTTTCTTTGCTGTGCAAAACTTTTTAGTTTGATGTAGTCCCATTTGTTTATTTTCCCTTTTATTTCCCTTGCCTTAGGAGATGTATCAGAAAAAAATATTGCTACAAGAAATGTCTGAGTTTTACTGCCTATGTTTTCTCCTAGGATTTTTATGTTTTTGACTCTTACATTTAAATCTTTAATCTATTTTGTGCTTATTCTTGTGTATGGTGTAAGGAGGTGGTCTAGTTTCATTTTTTTGCATCTATCTGTCCAGTTTTCCAAACACCATTCACTGAATAGACTGTCTTTACCCCATTGTATGTTCTTGCCTCCTTTGACAAATATTGATTGGCCATAAAGGCGTGGGTTTATTCTTGGGCTCTCTATTCTTATCCATTGATCAATATGTCTGTTTTTATGCCAGTACCATGCTGTTTTGATTACTATGGCCTTATAGTATAGTTTGATATCAGTTTGTTTGTTAAATCAATGAATGAGTATATAAATTCACAGTTTTATGAGTTTAACACTGAAAACACTGAACTCCTCCAGTTCCTCCAGTTAGAATGAGCTGAATTATGCCATTCTTAATAGGCATGGCCTCATAGCCTCCTGATGGCTTCCCATCAGGGCAAGTGTTCAGCCTGTTCCCATTCATGACCTCAGAAAACGCAAGGCAACCTCAGGTCTCCCGTTCCACACTCACCTGGGTGAATCAGGCAGGAGTCACACTCATTGTCCTCATTCCTGCAGCAAGGGATGGTATAACCCACAACTTCCTTCTTTCCAGGGCAGACACATTCAATCTGATCATATTCACAGCACTCGCGACACATGATATTCCACTCGGCTCCGGGGCAGGCTTCATTAATGACTGTGTACTCTGAAATAGAAACCAGCAGGTAAGGACAAAGGTCCTGGCAGGAAGGAGTAAGACCCATAAGTACTCTACTGCTAAAAAGCAACCCTGCCCTACAAATGTATTGCCCTGCCTGAATGATAGAGAGGACCCTATGCATTCTTCCAGGCCAACATCTCCCAAGTGGGTGGCTTACCTCAAAGGGTGTTCAAAACCATCCGTTGTGCATAGATGTGATTTGTGAGAACTGCTATTCATTTTCATTTTTAATAAAGTAAGAAATCATGTTTTATCCATATATAATCAAAGTGGATGACACATACACATATATAATTTACAAGCAAATATACACCTCTTGAGTGCCTACGCTCATTTCTATTTTTGCTGGGGTGCATCAGGCCACGGCGTACAGTTACACAGGTGGTGCAGTGCACAACTCCAGGACCATTCAACGGCACAGCTGCCCAGCACAGCCCAGGCATTCAGGCCATCAAAAAAGTTTGGAGACCAGTCTCTAGATTAGGCCATTCAAGTGCAAGGCTGATGGCCAAGTAGAGACCATGTCATTCATTTCCTCCAAACCTGGCTCCTCCCTCTCGCAGCATGCAACTTTTATGGTATCTTCAAAGGGAAAACCAACAGAGAAGACAAAAAGCACCTTAATTAGTATGTTTGGGAGAATTTCAATGTTTTCCAAGGGTGAACTCATTGGCAGAACTTTATTCAGTCCCTAAATTCAACTGAGCATTCTTTCCCTTGAGAAAAAAAAAGAATGTATTCCTTTCTGGGTAGCATTTATGTATTTCTTTCTTAAAAAATACACACACCTTAAGTAAATGAAAAAGAAAGACCACCTGGCAAAATCTATAAGAGGAATCAGGTGGAGGTTGCCCAGACTAAGAAACAGACTTCGCTTTGATGCTTGTCTTTCTCCCATTCTCCATTTCTCAAAATGTTGCACAAAGATGACGACTGAAGCAGAAATAGGTCAGATATTTGAGGAAGAAAGTGAATCTGGCTTCCCTTTGAAGCCGTTCCTAAAACCCTCTGGCAGGAATCCCCAACATGCTCTGTAGACCCTACTTAAACCCACCTTAGCATCTGTGGTGGCGTCTAACCTCCTGGAATTCATGGTTCAGTTTTCTATTTTCTGCCGCTAAACTTGGAAGTCTGACACAGTTGGTCATTCTTAATTGCCAACTAGGGCCATTTAGAGAAAGTATCGCCATCTACGCACAGCCTCATAAGAACATTCTAGCATCATAGAAAGGAACTACTTGCATAAAACGTTATTTTCTTTTTTATCCACAAACATTGGTGGACGAGCCAAGATCCTCACACTGGCATTTGGGAGTGAATGACATCGATCACTGTGATTCTGTCACTACTGGAGGCGATGGTTTTAATGGCTCTTTCTGGTCTGGTAAATCCACCCCTCTCTTCCTCCCCACTGAGACAGGAAAATGCCCCCATAATATGAGTAAGAAATAATCACATAAGTGAAATAGTCTATGAGAAATATTTACTGCTGACCAGCTGAAGAGACTTCAAAACACAAGAAGCAGACAAGAGCCATTTCCTGGATTTTTTTTCTCCACTTATTACAACATTTGCAGAAAAGGCTCACTGGTCATTTGGCGTTAGCTCTACAAATGTCACGAATTTCAACATGGTGCTAAAGGCCAGGTCCAGAAACAAGGATTTAGAGAAACACCAATAGCACTAAGCTACTGAAGGTTTTCATATATGTATGCTAAAGCACTTTAGCATTTATTTAGCTAAGGTGCTTTTATATTATTGATACAACTTAATCTTCAAAATGACCTGGTGAAGTAGGTAATACATTTTTTTTTTCTTAAAAACATCTAATCCAGCCCGCCCGGTTGTGGCTCAGCAGATGAGCATTGACCTATGAACCAGGAGGTCACGGTTCCATTCCTGGTCAAGGCACATGCCCAGGTTGTGGGCTCGACCCCCAGCGGATGCAGGAGGCAGCCGATCTATGATTCTCTCTCATCATTGATGTTTCTGTATCTCCCTCTCCCTTCTTCTCTGAAATCAATAAAAATATATTTAAAACAAACAAACAAACAAAAATAAACATCTAGCCTACCTCTTTGCTTTACCAGTGAGGAAAAGGGCTATGTAAAGAAGAAGCAAAGATTAATGCCAAAGGAGCTTTTTTTAGAGAATTGATTCTAGGGGGAAGGCAGGCCCACAGAATCCCAGGCCTAGAGAGGATGTGGCTGCTTAGGGGGAACAGGCCAGGACAACCTCCAGCTTCACCCCTAACGGATTGAGCGAACTTAATTTGTCTTCCATACTTAACAACAACGTCTTATAAAAACTGCAAATAAATTTTATCCATCATTGCTTCCCAGGAAATAGAGTAATCCCTCCTTATCCACAGGGGATATGTTCTGAGGCCCCCAATGGATACCTGGAACCACAGACAGTACCAAACCCTAGGTATACTATGCTTTTTCCTACGCAGACAAACCTTTTCACTTCCAGGAAGCACTTCATGGCTTCTCTGTGGCATATCTGAATTGCCAGCATCACTACTCTCACACTTTTGTGCCATTATTGAGTAAAATAAGGGTTTCGTGGACAGAAGCGCTGTGACAGCAAGCGAATCTGATAACCAAGAGGGCTACTAAGTAAAAGTGACTAATGGGGGGTAGTGTAGTGGAGACCCTAGACAAAGCGATGACTCACATCAGGAGCGGGACACAGCTGGACAGCACGAGATTTCATCACGCTGTTCAGAAGGGTGCACAATGTAAAACTTATAAAATTGTTTATTTCTGGAATTTCCCATATAATATTTTTGAACCACAGTTGACCCGGTAATTAGAACTGCAGAATGTGTAACCACAGATAAGGGGGTGCTACTGTAAGCAACTAAAGCAAAAATAACTCATGGAGCACTGCCCTGGGATAGACCAAGGCACTGAAAGGTCAAGCACATGCCCATAATCGCACAGTAAAATCCAGCTTACAGAGTTCCGGGCACCAGACACAGGGGGTCATCCCTAATTCTTCCACTGGATCAAATATTTTTTCTTTATAAAACTCAACATGTTTCAATATAAAAGATCTCTTGTGAAAGCTTCAAAAAAATAAAATCATAAGAAATAAAAAGTCTTCAGAAGTATCCTTAATATTTTGTTGTCAATCCTTCAAATTGTCTTCTGTCAATAAGCACATATATATCCAGAGGTAGATACTGACAAATGTATACACATGGTCTTCTCACCTCTCAAAACTGGGAACAGTATTTTTATTTAAAAATTGATTTTTTTCAACAATTTTCAACCTTTTTTATCCAATGGCACACATAAACTGACTACTAAAATTCTGCAGCACAACAAAAAATATATTTTTGCCGATCTGGCAAAAAGTAGGTATAATTTTGATTCACACCAAATGGCTATTGTTGTGTTGGCTGATGTCATTTTTTAAAATTTGATAACCTCAGGGAAAAGAGGTCAGTGCCCCTGACTAAATAGACAGGCATTGCATGTTTTAAGAATTCTCGCAGCACAGTGGTTGATTTTAAATTGCTGCATCATTATCCTATGTGTGCAAGTGCTCCCCTCCCTCCTTTTTACAATCAGGGTGAGCAAATACCAAGAGAGTTGCAAAGTGCTTGGACATCCTAAGCTTTGCTCAAGCCCTTCTCCCCACAGCCACGCTCGGGACAGCCATCCTCCCGTCTCCTATCCAGAATGGGGAGTCCAGTCATGATGGTCCAGCTCTGGATATTCCAGAATTCACTTTAGAAAATGCAAGATCCTTAACCTCTCAGTCCTGTTTTAGGACTGGGGATGCCAAGGCAATGACGACAATCTGAACTTCCTAACTGATGTCTAACCAGCACACATTTCTGACCAGCTGGCCCATGTTCAGCTGGTGGAGAACAAATGAATGAATGAATGAATGGGTCGGCTGTCATCACCATCATCATGACTCAGCACAGCCCCTCATCTGCCTGATGGTTTGCTGCAAAGCTATCCAATGCTCAACCATGTCTATTGCTGACAACATGGGGGAACACTTAATCCCCCAAACAGCAGGGGATTAACGCCACAGAATGGTAGGGGGAGCAACTGTGTCCCCTTAGCTCAGTCTCTGAGAGCCACGTTTTCAACACTAGATTTTCAGGCAATATGCTGACAGGATGACTGTGAAGGCCGATCTGAAAAACTCAGAGGATTCTTTATGAAAACAAAGGTCAGCCTGTTCCACACATGCCTGAAACATCAGTGGCCCGATTAAAGGCCCAGGCAAGATCACCCCAAAGAAAAGTACTTTTATCGTGTGTCCGCTCATGCTGGATGTTAGAAATCTGCCTTTGCATCCACCAAAAACCCTATAGCATCTCATCTAACCATACTTAATTAAAATCCCTACTGAGCTGTTTACTGTCCTGCCATCTTATAAATGAGACTAATGTGAGAGGGGGAAAAATGACATTATGAATCAGAGAGATAGGCACCTGGGCAGCTTGGGCCCCTCACTGATCCCCACTCAGTCCTCACCCACTCTGTGCAATCTGAACTTCCCAACTGATGGCCAACCAGCACACATTCCTGACTACCAGCCCACTCCACAGGGCCAATGACAGACAGGCAAATCCGGAGCAGGAATGATTGGCAGACAGGGGCGACAAAATCATTACTGGGGCCATTGGTGATTTCCTATTTCCTCCTGAGCCTTTGAGAACCATGCCATCGCCAGTGACCCTCCGTCACAGCCTGGCTGGATTCCCAGTCTCAGTGACCTCGGTCTTCCCCTTTCAAAGCTCCTCTTGCTAACGAGATAATGATAGCTGCAGAGTCAATGCCTTTATCACCCTCCCTTGGGAATCAGGAGTAAGAAAACTTTCAGTGGATTCCTTAGAAATCTGGTTTGTAGGCTCTTAGACATTGGGGAGGGGAGGGGCAAAAATCAGTTTGACGCTTCCTTTCCCTCCTCATCCTTTACTAAGCACACTGCTCTACACCGTGGCTCTTCATTCA